ACCTACCTGTAGCTTTTAAAGCTGTCGAAGTTGGTAGTACTAATCACTGCCTCCTGTGGCAGGGAGTTCCGTAGTTTCACTCTGTGCTGCACTTTCTTTCTTTCTTTCTTTCTTTCTTTCTTTCTTTCTTTCTTTCTTTCTTTCTTTCTTTCTTTCTGCACCTGTCTGGCTGCCCCTGCCTTTGCAGAGATGGCTCCCCTGTCCCTTCCTTTGTCTGCCCCCAGAGAGATTTCCAAGACGCTCTTTGCAGAACAGCTCAGGCTTCCGCCGTGCTTTGGACGCTGCCCTGAGCTTTCTCCTCGTGGTTTCGCCTTTCCCTTGGCTGGAGATCAGAGGAGGAGCCAGCAGCAGGGAGTCCCTTGCAAAGCAGGCAGCAGGGCGCATGGGACGGGGGCCAAAGCTCTGGAGCTGCGCAGGAGGGCTGCTCGCCTCTGTCTGAGCGCCTGCTGAGCCTCAAGAACAGCTGGAACGGATTGCAATTCTAGAATCAGAGCACGGGCCAGCCCTCCCAAGCCTTTCCGCTACAGAATCATAGCACTGCAGAGTTCGAAGGAACCCCCAGGGACATCTAGTCCAACCCCCTGAAATGCTGGAGTCTCAGCCACAGCATTCCTGGCAGGTGGCCATTTAATTCTGCTTTAAAACCTGCAAGAAAGGAGAGCCCACCACTTTCCAATGGGGTCCTTTCCACTGATGAACAGCTCTTACTGTCAGAAAGTTCTGGTGTTTAATTGGAATCTACTTGTAACTTGAAGCCATTGGTTCGGGAACTAGTTTCAGGAGCAGTAATAAAAATAAAAATAAAAATTTTATTGGTACCCTGCCCTCCCCGGCCAGAGCCGGGCTCAGGGCAGCTAACACCAATAAAATCACAGTAAAAACATAATAGGGGGAAAAGAGAGGGGGGGGACAATTTAAAATACAAGTTAAAATGCAATTTAAAATGCAGCCTCATTTTAAAGTAGCTGATAAATCAAGACCATAAGGGGAGGGAAACATAAGGGTCAGACTGAGTCCAGACCAAAGGCCAGGCAGAACAGCTCTGTCTTGCAGGCCCTGCGGAAAGATGTCAAGTCCCGCAGGGCCTTAGTCTCTTGTGACAGAGTGTTCCACCAAGTCGGGGCCAGTACTGAAAAGGCCCTGGCCCTAGTTGAGACCAATCTAACCACCTTGCGGCTCGGGACCTCCAAAATGTTGTCATTTGTGGACCTTAAGATCCTCCACAGGGCACACCAGGAGAGGCGGACCCGTAGGAGAAAACAAGTTTGTTCCCTCTTCCATGTGACAGCCCTTGAGATATTTGCAGAGGGCTATAATATCTTCTTTCAGTCTCCTCTTATCCAGGCTAAACATACCCTAATCCCTCAACCATTCCTCATAAGGCTTGGTTTCCAGGCCCTTGATCATCTCAGACGCCCTCCTCTGTTCACGTTCCAGCTTGTCTACATCCTTCTTAAATTGTGGTGCCCAGAATTGGACACAGGACTCCATGTGAGGCCCTGACCAAGGCAGAACGCAATGGTTCATGTGCGGCTTGTGATGCCCACGTTCCAAAATAAAACATCTGCGGTGGCATGTTAGAGCTGTGTTTTCACAGGATAATCTCGGAGCCTTGCCCAGAGGCTCTGAAGGAAGATGCCCACAGTGTAGTTGGCCTTGCAAGGTGAAGAAAGCGCAATTCTAGAAAACCAAAGTGGTGGGGGGGAGATTTTGAAAAGCTGTGTTCCATCAACCCTGAGAGCTGTTCGTTGCTGTCCAGGGAGCAAGGAACACACACTGTGATGGCCTGGGATTTGGACTCAGAGGTTGAACCTGAGGAATCCCAGCCTGCACAGGAGTCCCCGCCTCCAGAACTAGCTGAGCCGAGGCTGGGGCCTGAGCCTGAAGGGTCCTCACCTGTGCTGGATCCTCAGGTGCAGGCACCAGTTGAGTCTGCTCTGGCCCCTGAGGTGATGGAGGACCCATTGCCTGCAGGTGCTCCACTCTCAGCCCCGTCAGGGGAATGTGAGGTTGCCTCTGGGTCCAGTAACCCACCAGCCTCTCCTGAGCTGCAGAGGCTCAGGGCAGAGAGGCGGAGGGAACTAAGTTCCTGCAGGAGGAGCGCTGGCCTTCAGGACAGGAGAGGCAAGTCACCTGTGGACCGGGGCCACCCTATGCCTCGGGGCAGATAAAAGCCGGCCAGCCCCAGTCCCAAGTTGCGGGAGCAACGTTGTTGGTAGCCAGTTCCTGCCTGCACCCTGTCCCGCTCTTCTGCCAGAGGTCCTGACCCTACCCGACTCCCTGCCTTGGACCCAGCTACAGCCTCCATACTGCACCATCGACCTCAGACTGGACTCGGACCCGCCTCTCAGTTAGCCCCCAGAACCAGCACACACACCTTTGCTCAGCCACCTTCCAGCAGCCGTCTCAAAGTAACTTAAATGAAGTTATCCACATGCCAAGCTGTCTAATTGGGGTGGTGGGCAGGGCACGGCAAGCTAAATACATGAGCAAAGCCCTCCATCTGCCCATGTTCTCCTGGGGAGAGGTGAAATCTGCGCGGGAGCCTGAAGGCAGAAGGTGCCGCTGGCAAGCAAAACATGGTCAAGAGCGACTCCCGCCGGCTGGCCCCCGATGGAGAGGTGGCCTTGAGGGGTCTGATCTTGTCTGTCTGAGTGCTTTCGATTCGAGAGGCAGCCCAGGGGGAGATTGCGCCGCCTAAGAGTGGCAGTTCTAGCTGCAGCGCCATGCGAACAAGGGATATAAATAAAAGGAGGCAGCCCCCGCGACGTCTTCCGGCAGATCCGCAGATGTCCTGTGGTCCCCCCAGAGAAGCTGTTGCTGAGATGCAAGAGGCCGGAAACAGATTGCCAGTCTTGGTTGTTTAGTTGTACAGCGAATGTCCGCAATGACAGAAGAATGAGGACGGTTCTTCTGGCGTATGGTACAAATTCACTGGAAGTACAGGGAGATGTGTGAGGGCCATCAGTCACCCAGTGGTTGTGAGAATGTTCAGGGTTGCAGGAGAGGATATATTGTTTATTAATATCCTTCCTAACTTGTGCTAGCAAGTTCCTTTATGGAGCAGAGTTACATCCTCTCCCCGTTTTTTACATGCACAGCAGATAGCTGGTTGCAGGCTCGTGTGAGCCTCTCAATCTGTCTCAGATTGAATTGTATGTTCCTGGTAAGTTCCCTTGAATCCCTCTTAAAAGAATAAAGACGTGACAATCATATTTAAAGATGATAAAAGAAGTTTACTCACATCAGTTCAGAGTTGGATTCCTGAAGGTAGACTTAGTTACAAATATGTACTTGTGGATCTACCCCATATGGGGGAATAATCCCAGTGCTTCTGCTAGCTGAACGCTAGCAGAGGAGTCCTAGCTGAAAAGCTGTTCAAACGAAGAAGGAAATCAAAAAGAGGGAGGTGTGCTGCGTGACTTGTCCTTTTGTTACCTGGACAGGTGAGGTCACGCCCACCTTCTATCACATGCAAAAGGAAGGATGCTCCAGCCAGGAGGAACAGGAGGTTTTGATTGGCTGGACCAAACATCCCCTTGCATGTCTTCTCTAGCATTACAAGGAATGTTGTACTTGACTGCCTCTCATGGATCAAATCCCACAGCGGTCGTGGGAGGCAGCATCTTGCCAACAAGCCATATTTTTCTGCATGCAAAACTGGTATGTGAGGACCCTCACCTATGCGCTTTAAGGCTGTGTGCAATTATACACTGGCTCCAGTGTGCTCCCACCACAGGTGTTTGGAACCATGTGCACATGGAAATTGCCACAATCCGTATCTGCCCTGTAGTATCATGAGAAATGCTTCTTGGCTTGTTTCCTCTCAAAGCAGCTTCTATCCAATTTGAAAACATCAGCCACATTAAGCTGAGGTGCGTACATTTGAGAAAGCTGCTCCCAGGGCCGGCCCACCCATGAGGCAAGGCGAGACGGCTGCCTCAGGCGGCAGAATCCACAGGAGCAGCAGATCGCAATGTAGCTCTTCATTTCCCCCTCGTTCTTGATTTTCACTCACCCCTCCTTCTCTAGCAGGGAGCGGGCAGCATTTTGCGGTTTGCCTCAGGTGCTAAAACGTCTATTAGGGCAACAGCTGTTTGATAGTCGAACAGACTCCCTCAGAAGGTGGCAGACTCCTTCATCGAAGGATTCTAAGCACAAAGTGCCTGGCCATCTGTCAGGGACTCTTTAGCTGTGATTCCTGTATTGCAGCGGGTTGGACTAGATGACCCACAGGGTCCCTTCCAACTCTACAATTCAGTGATTCCATGAAACGTGACTTGAAATGCAACCAGGGGCAGGAAATAGCATTGTTAGATTTCAAGCTGCTAATGTGTGTGTGTTGATTATTATTATTATTATTATTATTATACCAGCCTTCTTCTGAAGACCTTTCTTCTTCTTCTTCTTTCTTCTTTGGCCGAGTAAGATTGTCTTCCATAAACACGGTTTTAACAATGAGTCCATAAGTGACTGTGGAGGCCAGTTCTGGATCCACACATCCTTCCACAGTGGGGACATTGGTGGGAGTTGATCCCGGTGAGGGTTTGCCAAGCGTGCCTTCCTCTTAGCACGTGTCTCCCTTGCATCCTGAGTTCAAGTGTCTTCAAAGCCCACAACACTTTTGGTAAAGGCTGCTCTCCAATTGGAGCGCTCGCAGGCCAGTGTTTCCCAATTGTTGGTGTTTATACTACATTTTTAAAATATTTGCCTTGAGAGCGTCTTTAAACCTCTTTTGTTGACCGCCAGCGTTATGCTTTCCATTTTTAAGTTCAGAATAGAGTAGTTGCTTTGGAAGACGATCATCAGGCATCCACACAACATGACCAGTCCAACGAAGCTGATGTTAAAGAATCAGGTCACAGGGCTGTTGATCACATAACAAAATGAGAACACAAAATACATAACAAAAACAAACCCAAAGCAAGAAGTGTTTAGCGAGTCTATAAATGTTCTAATCAGCGTTAACACGTCTTTCTTCTGGGGTTTTCTGACCGCAGGCGAATTTGAAGAAGTTCATGGAATATGTGCAGACGCTGAATGTGGAGAAGGTCAGCCGGCTGCTGGAGAAGGGACTGGACCCCAACTTCCACGACCCGGATAGCGGAGGTGAGAAGAGGGGTGTCTGCAAGGAGAGGCTCTGGGTGGTGCTTGGGTGAGGGAAGCTGGAGGGGGGGTCAGGCAAGCAAGAAGGAAAAAGACCAGGCAGGGGCTTAGCTCAGGGGTGGGAAGCCTCAGACCCTGAAGCTGAATGTGGCCCTCAAAGCCTTCGTTCCTGACCCTTGGGACTCTCCCCAAGCCACAGATCTTACCAGCCCTGCTTTGCTCTCTGACTCCTCATTCCTGGCTGGGATGAGCCCCTGCACTCTGTGCATGCCTCTTGCTTGCCTTCGTGGGGGGGGGACAGAGGGGTCTGGGGGTCTGCATGTAGAAACCAGCCTAGTGTTCAAAGATGACACATGCTGCTCTTCCTGCTTTCGTCTGTGGCCCTGCCCACCATTCCCGTGTGGCCCCGGAAGGTTGCTGAGAAGGGAATGTGGCTCTCAGGCTGAGAAAGGTTCCTCCGCCTCTGGATTAGCTCAAAGCTGTTCTGGTTTCCTTTACATTAAACAAAGCAATAGAGTCCTTTCTGTTGGGGATAATTCAGACTGGAATTCCCAGGTGCCCAAAAAAGGTTGTTTATGTATGCAACAACTGCGACCCGTGTTTGGTTAGCCCAAAAACGGAAAACGAGCAAGGTCCCAACCAAAGAAGGATGACAATTTAAGTTGATAGAACTTTAATAATATAATAATAATTTATTATTTATACCCCGCCCACCTGGCTGGGTTTCCCCAGCCACTCTGGGCGGCTTCCAACAAAACTCTAAAATACAATAACCTATTAAACATTAAAAGCTTCCCTAAACAGGGCTGCCTTCAGATGTCTTCTAAAAGTTTGGTAGTTATTTTTCTCTTTGACATCTGGTGGGAGGGCATTCCACAGGGCGGGCACCACTACCGAGAAGGCCCTCTGCCTGGTTCCCTGTAACTTCGCTTCTCGCAGTGAGGGAACCACCAGAAGGCCCTCGACACTGGACCTCAGTGTCCGGGCAGAATGATGGAGGTGGAGACGTAAGCAAGCTTTGATGAATGCAATAAGCAGGCATGTCCAACAGATAGATCAGTTATCTCCCCCCCCAAAAAAAGGGGGGGGGACAACAACTGTGGCTTCCTTAAAAAGCTCAACAATTTTGGTCCATCCAACGACAATGGGTAGATCACTGCCAATTTTTTTATACTATGAGTAGATCACAGTCTATCGGGAGTTGGACGTCTCTGCGTGGAATACTGCGTGGTATAGGTTTTGTAGAATATGCAGGGATTTGTGATATGTAACCATGGAAAGAGAAGCAGGGAAGTCATTGATATCTAAAGGATGTAAAATGAGTATTTAAAATTGTAAAACAGAAAATATAATAAAAAATATGTTAAAAAATATAAGAAACAAAATGAAGTCCCTTGGATGTTGGAAGACCTGGAGCCCAGAAGAAGTCCTGGGTCTCCGCTTTCCCGTTGGGAGGTGGGACTAGCTGACACCAGCTCTTTCCTCCAGGGGTTTTCTCTACCTGGCTGTGGTCAGATTTTGCTGAACACCCGTCATCATCTCGCAGGCATCTGTTTGGCAACTGTGACAACAGGGTGATGGACCGAACAGGCTTCCTTTGGCCTCATCCAGCAGGCTCTGCCTCTGTTTTTATTCCCACTGGTCAGTGTGACCAATGGCCAGGGATCATGGTGGTTGCATTGCAGCAGCATTTGCGGGGGGGGGCACACTTGCTTCCCACCCCTCCTTCAAAGGTCTCGTTGAGGAGTCTCTGGTGGGTGCGGGAGGGGGCAGGAGGCCACGGCAAAGGGACCCAATGAGGCGTGGGTTTAATAAGCAATAAGGGCAAGCTTAATAAACTTCATTTAGCCCTTTAAGGAGACAAAATGTGTTATGTATAATTTAAGCAAACGGTTAGCTCGCCCGATATTGCTGCCTGCTATATTTATGAAGCAAAAGCGTGCAAGTTCCCTGCTCGCACCCGAACAACAATTAATTACCGAGAGACGCAGCGCTGGAGCGGAGGGGGACGATCAGCACACGCCGCAACGTTGCTCGATCTCCTTGCCAGTTGGCAAACAGGAGAAAAATAAAATAAAAGCCGAAAATAGAAACCATCAATATCTCCTTATCTGGGACTGTGGAGCTTAGCCTTGCTGCGCAGAATCGCTTCAAGTGCCATCAGTGCCATTTGGCTGGGTGTCTGGAAAAAGGGGAGAGTTCTGTTGGGATCTTTCATTCCTTGTCTCCATCATTTTCCGTCCTCTCCACCACTCAGCAGCTGGGAGATAGGACCAAGTCCTGTCCCCTGCGTGTCTCCCTCTGCTGCTCCCAGCCTCCTCCAAAGGAGAGATGAGGAAAGGCCTCAGCTTGGCTCAGCTGGCAGCATCTTCAGGAAGGACTGGGGAGGAATCTAGACACACACACAAAAACGCTGTGAAAAAGCTTTAAAAAAAAGTTTTGAAAAATATATTGAATTTGCCATAAGCTCACCATTGCCATCTCATGTCACATTTGTATAATGCACTTAAAACACACTTAAAACATTATATTTGCAGCTGTATAGCTGAGTGCCTGCAGCGGCGATCCGAGGGGGCGGCGCTCCAGGTACCATTCCGAAAGGGGTGGTGGTGACAAAATGCTGACCCCCAATTGGCGATAACCCCCCCCAGGCGTGCACCGCTTGCTGCAGACACCCAGGATGCGTGTCATGCACTGCGGACAGTGTGCCCCCGGGGATGCGAGTCACACACCCCTGGGATGAGCGCCGCTCCGGGTACCAGAGCAGGTTGCATCACCTCTGCCTGCCTGAAAAGGATTTTGGGGTCTTGGTGGACCACAAGGTTAGCATGAGTCCACAGTGTGATGCAGCAACAAAAAAAGCTAATGCTATTCCAGGCTGCAGAAGTTTAGGGTCCAGATCAAGGGAAGTCATAAAGGTAAAGGTACAGGGACCCCTGACCATTAAGTCCAGTCGCGGACGACTCTGGAGTTGCGCACTCATCTCACTTTACTGGCTGAGGGAGCCGGCGTACAGCTTCTGGGTCATGTGGCCAGCATGACTAAGCCGCTTCTGGTGATCCAGAGCAGCGCACGAAAACGCCGTTTACCTTCCCGCTGAAGCAGTACCTATTTATCTACTTGCACTTGATGTGCTTTCGAACTGCTAGGTTGGCAGGAGCAGGGACCGAGCAACGGGAGCTCACCCCGTTGCAGGGATTTGAACCGCCGACCTTCTGATCAGCAAGTCCTAGGCTCTGTGACCACAGCGTCACCCACGTCCCAGGGAAGTCATAGTCCCACTCTATTCTGCCTTGGTCAGACCACATCTGGAATACTGTGTCCAGTTCTGGGTAACACAATTTAAGAAGGATGTTGATAAACTGGAAGATGGGCAGAGGAAGGCAACCAAGATGACCAAGGATCTAGAAACCAAGCCTTGTAAGGAATGGTTGAAGGAGCTGTGTTTTGCCTGGAGAAGAGGAGGCTGAGAGGAGATATGATGTATCAAGGACTGTCCCATGGAAGACGGAGCAATTTTGCAATTCCACGATTCTCCTTTCCAAGCGGGAGGTGGCAAGGCCCTTTTGCCAGGAAAGGAGCCGCTGGGTTGCTGTGGCTACAAAGCCAGATCTCCATCGCTTTGAGTGCGCTTCAGAGATTTCATGCTCCCGTACTGAATCCTCAAATGACCCACCAAAAATATCAGGCTTTCTCTAGCGAGAGAGAGATTCTGCCCTTGGGTTTATCCATCGCAGTGTCATTCAAAGCCAGACTATCCCTCCGGGCTCCTGAGAGCTTTCTGACTCCCCAAGTACAATGGAGGGATCTTAGCGGCTTGTTGGGGGTTTGGAAAAGGTTGGGTTCAGAGGCTCCGGACGAGATGCTGAGTCCACAGCAGGCCGGGGCGGCTCTGTGCTCCATCTCTGGCATGCAGAGGCTTCAGGGGACTTGCAGCTGTGAGCTCGTAAACCTTTATGGTCTGGAAATAATCCAGCTTTTGCTGTTGTTTGCACCTCCTCATGCCTTGTGCAAGAAGGGAGAAATGCTGGGATGGAAAAGGCTTTTAGGAGATGTGATTTGTTGGAGTGAAGTTTCTGTTCCTCTGCCTCAGACCTTTCAAGTGAAGACCCAGGGAGATGGGCTGAGGGTTGATTATTTATTATTATTATTATTATTATTATTATTATTATTATTATTATTATTATTTTGGGGAGAGGCATCCCAGCTCTGCAAAAGACTTAAGTCCCAAACTAAAAAGCTGAAGATCACTAATGCCTAACTGCACTCTAGGACGTGGGTGGCGCTGTGGTTAAACCACTGAGCTAGGACTTGCCGATCACAAGGTCGGCGGTTCGAAATCCCTGCCATGGGGTGAGCTCCCATTGCTCGGTCCCTGCTCCTGCCCACCTAGCAGCCTAAAAGCACGTCAAGTGCAAGTAGATAATCCGGTACCATTCCGTCGGAAGCGTAAAGCGCGTTTCCGTGCGCTGCCTCTGGTTCGCCAGGAGCAGCTTAGTCATGCTTGGGCCACATGACCTGGAGTGCTGTACGTCCGGCTCCCTTGGCCTAATAAGAGAGATGAGCCGCTGCAACCCCAGAGTCGGTCACAACTGGCACTTAATGGGGTCAGGGGGTCCGTTTACCTTTTTAACTTCCACTCTGGCTTTCTCCCCAAGAGAAAGCCACCGCAGCAAACTGCAACCCTGAGCAAAAACTTTTCCCTCTCTGTTCCAATTAACATTTGTAAAAAAGCTGAAGCATTTTTGTTAGGGAATGTAGGAAAAGACCTGCCAAGGAAATTGAAGAACATATTCATGTATGCGACAATGGCGGCAAGAGTCTTAATAGCACAAGGATGGAAGAATGAAGAAATCCCGACAAAAGAACTGTGGCAATGGAAACTGATGGACTATGTGGAAATGGCGAAACTGACGCATAAATTACGTGAAAAGGACAACTGTGATTTTAAAGAAGAATGGGAACCTTTTACAAAGTATTTAAAGAAACAACCAAACGAACTG